CCACTCACTCACCACTCACTCACTCACCACTCACCACTCACTCACCACTCACTCACCACGCTCACCACTCACTCACCACTCACCACTCACCACGCTCACCACTCACTCACCACTCACTCACCACTCACTCACCACTCACCACGCTCACCACTCACTCACCACTCACTCACCACTCACTCACCACTCACTCACCACTCACTCACCACTCACTCACCACTCACCACTCACTCACCACGCACTCACCACTCACTCACCACTCACTCACCACTCACCACTCACTCACCACGCACTCACCACTCACTCACCACTCACTCACCACTCACTCACCACTCACTCACTCACCACGCTCACCACTCACTCACCACTCACTCACCACGCTCACCACTCACTCACCACGCTCCCTCACCACTCACTCACCCACTCACTCGCTCACCACTCACTCACCACGCTCACCACTCACTCACTCACCACTCACTCACCACTCACTCACCACGCTCACCACTCACTCACCACGCTCACCACTCACTCACCACTCACTCACCACTCACTCACCACGCTCACCACTCACTCACTCACCGCTCACTCACCACTCACTCACCACTCACTCGCTCACCACGCTCACCACTCACTCACCACGCTCACCACTCACTCACCACGCTCACCACTCTCTCACTCACCGCTCACTCACCACTCACTCACTCACCACTCACTCGCTCACCACTCACTCACCACGCTCGCTCACCACTCACTCACCACTCACTCACCACTCACTCACTCACCACTCGCTCACCACGTTCACCACTCACTCACCACGCTCACTCACCACGCTCACCACTCACTCACTCGCTCACCACTCACTCACCACGCTCGCTCACCACTCACTCACCACTCACTCACCACGCTCACCACTCACTCACCACGCTCGCTCACTCACCACTCGCTCACGCACCACGCTCACTGCTCACCACGCTCGCTCACCACTCTCACTCACCGCTCGCTCACCACTCACCACACTCACTCACGACGCTCACCGCTCGCTCACCGCTCGCTCACCGCTCACTCACTCACCACACTCACCGCTCACTCACCACGCTCACCGCTCGCTCACCTCTCTCCCTCTCTCCTCGTGTCTCCCTCCCCGTGTCTCCCTCCCCGTGTCTCTCTCCCCGTGTCTCTCTCCCCGTGTCTCTCCCCCCGTGTCTCTCTCCCCGTGTCTCCCCCCCCCCCGTGTCTCCCTCCCCGTGTCTCTCCCCCCGTGTCTCCCTCCCCGTGTCTCTCTCCCCGTGTCTCTCCCCCCGTGTCTCCCTCCCCATGTCTCTCTCCTCGTGTCTCTCTCCCCGTGTCTCTCTCCCCATGTCTCTCTCCCCGTGTCTCTCCCCCCGTGTCTCTCTCCCCGTGTCTCCCTCCCCCCCGTGTCTCCCTCCCCGTGTCTCTCCCCGTGTCTCTCTCCCCGTGTCTCCCTCCCCGTGTCTCTCTCCCCGTGTCTCTCCCCCCGTGTCTCCCTCCCCGTGTCTCTCTCCTTGTGTCTCTCTCCCCGTGTCTCTCTCCCCGTGTCTCTCTCCCCCCGTGTCTCTCTCTCCCCGTGTCTCTCTCCCCGTGTCTCTCTCCCCGTGTCTCTCTCCCCGTGTCTCTCTCCCCGTGTCTCTCTCTCCCCGTGTCTCTCTCTCCCCGTGTCTCACTCTCCCCGTGTCTCTCTCCCCATGTCTCTCTCCCCCCGTGTCTCTCTCTCCCCGTGTCTCTCCCCCCGTGTCTCTCTCCCCGTGTCTCTCTCCCCGTGTCTCTCTCCCCGTGTCTCTCTCTCCCCGTGTCTCTCTCTCCCCGTGTCTCTCTCTCCCCGTGTCTCTCTCTCCCCGTGTCTCTCCCTCCCCGTGTCTCTCTCCCTCCCCGTGTCTCTCTCTCTCCCCGTGTCTCTCCCTCCCCGTGTCTCTCCCTCCCCGTGTCTCTCTCCCCCCGTGTCTCTCTCTCCCCGTGTCTCTCTCTCTCCCCGTGTCTCTCTCTCTCCCCGTGTCTCTCTCTCCCCGTGTCTCCCTCGCCGTGTCTCCCTCCCCGTGTCTCTCCCTCCCCGTGTCTCTCCCTCCCCGTGTCTCTCCCTCCCCGTGTCTCTCCCTCCCCGTGTCTCTCTCTCCCCGTGTCTCTCCCTCCCCGTGTCTCTCTCCCTCCCCGTGTCTCTCTCCCTCCCCGTGTCTCTCTCCCTCCCCGTGTCTCTCTCTCCCCGTGTCTCTCTCTCCCCGTGTCTCTCTCTCCCCGTGTCTCTCTCTCCCCGTGTCTCTCTCTCCCCGTGTCTCTCTCTCCCCGTGTCTCTCTCGCCCCGTGTCTCTCTCTCCCCGTGTCTCTCTCTCTCCCCGTGTCTCTCCCTCCCCGTGTCTCTCTCTCTCCCCGTGTCTCTCTCTCTCCCCGTGTCTCTCTCCCTCCCCGTGTCTCTCTCTCCCCGTGTCTCTCTCTCCCCGTGTCTCTCTCTCCCCGTGTCTCTCTCTCCCCGTGTCTCTCTCTCCCCGTGTCTCTCTCTCTCCCCGTGTCTCTCTCTCCCCGTGTCTCTCTCTCTCCCCGTGTCTCTCCCTCCCCGTGTCTCTCTCTCCCCGTGTCTCTCTCTCCCCGTGTCTCTCTCTCCCCGTGTCTCTCTCTCCCCGTGTCTCTCTCTCTCCCCGTGTCTCTCCCTCCCCGTGTCTCTCTCTCCCCGTGTCTCTCTCTCCCCGTCTCTCTCCCCGTGTCTCTCTCTCCCCGTGTCTCTCCCTCCCCGTGTCTCTCTCTCTCCCCGTGTCTCTCCCTCCCCATGTCTCTTTCTCCCCGTGTCTCTCCCTCCCCATGTCTCTTTCTCCCCGTGTCTCTCTCTCCCCGTGTCTCTCTCCCCGTGTCTCTCTCCCCGTGTCTCTCCCTCCCCGTGTCTCTCTCTCCCCGTGTCTCTCCCTCCCCGTGTCTCTCTCTCCCCGTGTCTCTCTCTCTCCCCGTGTCTCTCCCTCCCCGTGTCTCTCTCCCCGTGTCTCTCCCTCCCCGTGTCTCTCTCCCCGTGTCTCTCCCTCCCCGTGTCTCTCTCTCCCCGTGTCTCTCTCTCCCCGTGTCTCTCCCTCCCCGTGTCTCTCTCTCCCCGTGTCTCTCTCCCCGTGTCTCTCTCTCCCCGTGTCTCTCTCTCCCCGTGTCTCTCCCTCCCCGTGTCTCTCCCTCCCCGTGTCTCTCCCTCCCCGTGTCTCTCTCCCCGTGTCTCTCTCCCCGTGTCTCTCTCTCCCCGTGTCTCTCTCTCCCCGTGTCTCTCTCTCCCCGTGTCTCTCTCTCCCCGTGTCTCTCTCCCCGTGTCTCTCTCTCCCCGTGTCTCTCCCTCCCCGTGTCTCTCCCTCCCCGTGTCTCTCTCTCTCCCCGTGTCTCTCTCTCCCCGTGTCTCTCTCCCTCCCCGTGCCTCTCTCTCTCCCCATGTCTCTCTCTCTCCCCGTGTCTCTCTCCCTCCCCGTGTCTCTCTCCTCGTGTCTCTCTCCCCCCGTGTCTCTCTCTCCCCGTGTCTCTCTCTCCCCGTGTCTCTCCCCGTCTCTCTCCCCGTGTCTCTCTCCCTCCCCGTGTCTCTCTCCCTCCCCGTGTCTCTCTCCCTCCCCGTGTCTCTCTCCCCGTGTCTCTCTCCCTCCCCGTGTCTCTCTCCCCCCGTGTCTCTCTCTCCCCGTGTCTCTCTCTCTCCCCGTGTCTCCCCCCTCCCCGTGTCTCTCTCCCCGTGTCTCTCTCTCCCCGTGTCTCTCTCTCTCTCTCCCCGTGTCTCTCCCTCTCCCCGTGTCTCTCTCTCTCCCCGTGTCTCTCTCTCTCCCCGTGTCTCTCCCTCCCCGTGTCTCTCCCTTCCCGTGTCTCTCTCCCCATGTCTCCCCCCTCCCCCCCCCCCCCGTGTCTCTCTCCCCGTCTCTCGTGTCTCTCTTCCCCCGTGTCTCTCTTTCCCCGTCTCTCTCCCCGTGTCTCTCTCTCCCCGTGTCTCTCTCTCCCCGTGTCTCTCTCTCCCCGTGTCTCTCTCTCCCCGTGTCTCTCTCTCCCCGTGTCTCTCTCCCTCCCCGTGTCTCTCTCTCTCCCTGTGTCTCTCTTCCCGTGTCTCTCTCTCCCCGTCTCTCTCCGCGTGTCTCTCTCTCCCCGTGTCTCTCTCTCTCCCCGTGTCTCTCTCTCCCCGTGTCTCTCTCTCCCCGTGTCTCTCTCTCCCCGTGTCTCTCCCTCCCCGTGTCTCTCTCTCCCCGTGTCTCTCTCCCCGTGTCTCTCTCTCTCCCCGTGTCTCTCTCCCTCCCCGTGTCTCTCTCTCTCCCCGTGTCTCTCTCTCCCCGTGTCTCTCCCTCCCCGTGTCTCTCTCTCCCCGTGTCTCTCTCTCCCCGTGTCTCTCTCTCCCCGTGTCTCTCTCTCCCCGTGTCTCTCTCTCCCCGTGTCTCTCTCTCCCCGTGTCTCTCTCCCTCCCCGTGTCTCTCTCTCTCCCTGTGTCTCTCTCCCCGTGTCTCTCTCTCCCCGTCTCTCTCCGCGTGTCTCTCTCTCCCCGTGTCTCTCTCTCTCCCCGTGTCTCTCTCTCCCCGTGTCTCTCTCTCCCCGTGTCTCTCCCTCCCCGTGTCTCTCTCTCCCCGTGTCTCTCTCCCCGTGTCTCTCTCTCTCCCCGTGTCTCTCTCCCTCCCCGTGTCTCTCTCTCTCCCCGTGTCTCTCTCTCCCCGTGTCTCTCCCTCCCCGTGTCTCTCTCTCCCCGTGTCTCTCTCTCCCCGTGTCTCTCTCTCCCCGTGTCTCTCTCTCCCCGTGTCTCTCTCTCCCCGTGTCTCTCTCCCTCCCCGTGTCTCTCTCTCTCCCCGTGTCTCTCTCTCCCCGTCTCTCTCCCTCCCCGTGTCTCTCTCTCCCCGTGTCTCTCTCTCCCTCCCCGTGTCTCTCTCTCTCCCTCCCCGTGTCTCTCTCTCTCCCTCCCCGTGTCTCTCTCTCCCCGTGTCTCTCTCTCCCTCCCCGTGTCTCTCTCTCTCCCTCCCCGTGTCTCTCTCTCTCCCTCCCCGTGTCTCTCTCTCTCTACCCCATACCAGGGTGGCGTTGGTGCGCTTCCTAAACGGGCCCAACGTGCTCCGTGGCCTGTCGGAGCACACCCGCACCCTCCGGCTGTACCCAAGGCCTGTCGTGGCCTTCCAGTCGGCGGCCTTCCTGGCCAGCCGGCCCTCCCTGTCGGCCTTCACTCAGCGGCTGGCCCAGACGCAGGCTGTCGAGTTCCTGGGCGAGTGGCTCCTGAACCCGGGCAACCTCGCCTACCACCGCATCTGCTCCAGTGAGGGGGCCCTGCCTGGCTCGCTCGCTCGCTCACTCGCTCACTCACTCAGTCACCAACTCAGTCACTCACTCAGTCACTCAGTCACTCACTCAGTCACTCATTCACTCAGTCAGTCACTCAGTCACTCACTCAGTCACTCAGTCACTCACCTACTCAGTCACTCAGTCACTCACTCACTCACCTACTCACTCACCCACCTAATTACTCACTCACTCAGTCACTCAGTCACTCACTCACTCAGTCACTCACTCACTCAGTCAGTCACTCAGTCACTCACTCAGTCACTCAGTCACTCACTCACTCATTCACTCACTCACTCATTCACTCACTCACTCATTCACTCACTCAGTCAGTCACTTACTCACTCACTCATTCACTCACTCACTCAGTCATTCACTCAGTCACTCACTCACTCACTCAGTCACTCACTCAGTCACTCAGTCACTCAGTCACTCACTCAGTCACTCACCCACCCACTCAGTCACTCACCTACTCACTCACTCACCCACTCACTCACTCACTCACCCCCTCACTCACTCACCAACTCACTGACTCACTCACCCCCTCACTCACTCACCTACTCACTCACTCACCCCCTCACTCACTCATCCACTCACTCACTCACTCACCCACTCACTCATCCACTCACTCACTCACCTACTCACTCACTCACCCCCTCACTCACTCACCAACTCACTCAGTCACTCATCCACTCATCCACTCACTCACCCACTCACTCAGTTACTCACTCACTCACCCACTCACTCACCCACTCACTCAGTCACTCACTCACTCATTCAACCACTCACTCACTCACCCACCCACTCAGTCACTCAGTCACTCACTCAGTCACTCACTCAGTCACCCACTCACCTACTCACTCACCCACCCACTCAGTCACTCACTCACTCATCCACCCACTCACTCATCCACTCACTCATCCACTCACTCAGTCACTCACTCAGTCACCTACTCACTCACCCACCCACTCAGTCACTCACCCACCCACTCACTCAGTCACCTACTCACTCACTCACCCACCCACTCAGTCACTCAGTTACTCACTCACTCACCTACTCACTCACCCACCCACTCACTCACCCACTCACTCACTCACGCACTCACTCACTCACCCATCCACTCACTCACCCACCTACTCACTCACCCACCCACCCACCCACTCACTCACTTACTCACCCACTCACTCACCTACTCACCCACCTACTCACCCACCCACTCACCCATTCACTCACCCATTCACTCACCCACTCACCCACCTACTCACTGACCCACCCACTCACTTACCCACCCACTCACCCATTCACTCACCCATTCACACACCCACTCACCCACCTACTCACTCACCCACCCACCCAGTCACTGTGTCTCTGTGTGTGTCTCTCTGTGTGTGTCTCTGTGTATGTGTCTCTATGTGTGTCTCTGTGTGTGTGTGTCTCTGTGTGTGTGTGTCTCTGTGTGTGTGTCTCTGTGTGTGTGTGTGTCTCTGTGTGTGTCTCTGTGTGTGTGTGTCTCTGTGTGTGTGTCTCTGTGTGTGTCTCTGTGTGTGTGTGTCTCTGTGTGTGTGTGTCTCTGTGTGTGTCTCTGTGTGCATCTCTGTGTGTGTCTCTGTGTGTGAGTCTCTGTGTGTGAGTCTCTGTGTGTGAGTTTCTGTGTGTGAGTCTCTGTGTGTGAGTCTCTGTGTGTGAGTCTCTGTGTGTGAGTCTCTGTGTGTGTGTCTCTGTGTGTGAGTCTCTGTGTGTGTCTCTGTGTGTGAGTCTCTGTGTGTGAGTCTCTGTGTGTGAGTCTCTGTGTGTGTGTCTCTGTGTGTGTGTCTCTGTGTGTGTGTCTCTGTGTGAGTCTCTGTGTGTGTGTCTCTGTGTGTGTGTCTCTGTGTGTGTCTCTCTAGACGTGTCTGACCCAGCCGTGATAGGACATAAACACGTGATACTCACAGAAACTGCTGCCCATCAGCTACAAGCTCTCTGTGTGTGTCTCTCTGTGTGTGTATCTGTGTGTGTCTCTCTGTGTGTGTGTCTCTCTAGACGTGTCTGACCCAGCCGTGATAGGACATAAATACAAGTGGTACTCACAGAGACTGCTGCCCATCAGCTACAAGCTCTCTGTGTGTGTCTCTGTGTGTGTCTCTGTGTGTGTCTCTGTGTCTCTGTGTGTCTCTCTAGACGTGTCTGACCCAGCCGTGATAGGAGATAAATACAAGTGGTACTCACAGAGACTGCTGCCCATCAGCTACAAGCTCTCTGTGTGTGTCTCTCTGTGTGTGTGTCTCTGTGTGTGTGTCTCTGTGTGTGTGTCTGTGTGTGTCTCTCTGTGTGTGTCTCTGTGTGTGTGTGTCTGTGTGTGTGTCTCTGTGTGTGTCTCTCTAGACGTGTCTGACCCAGCCGTGATAGGAGATAAATACAAGTGGTACTCACAGAGACTGCTGCCCATCAGCTACAAGCTCTCTGTGTGTGTCTCTCTGTGTGTGTGTCTCTGTGTGTGTGTCTCTGTGTGTGTCTCTGTGTCTCTGTGTGTCTCTCTAGACGTGTCTGACCCAGCCGTGATAGGAGATAAATACAAGTGGTACTCACAGAGACTGCTGCCCATCAGCTACAAGCTCTCTGTGTGTGTCTCTGTGTGTGTGTCTCTGTGTGTGTGTCTCTGTGTGTGTGTCTCTAGACGTGTCTGACCCAGCCGTGATAGGAGATAAATACAAGTGGTACTCACAGAGACTGCTGCCCATCAGCTACAAGCACTCTGTGTGTGTCTCTCTGTGTGTGTCTCTGTGTGTGTGTCTCTGTGTGTGTGTCTCTGTGTGTGTGTCTCTGTGTGTGTGTCTCTGTGTGTGTGTCTCTGTGTGTGTGTCTCTGTGTGTGTCTCTGTGTGTGTGTCTCTGTGTGTGTGTCTCTGTGTGTGTGTCTCTGTGTGTGTGTCTCTGTGTGTGTGTCTCTGTGTGTGTCTCTAGACGTGTCTGACCCAGCCGTGATAGGAGATAAATACAAGTGGTACTCACAGAGACTGCTGCCCATCAGCTACAAGCTCTCTGTGTGTGTCTCTCTGTGTGTGTGTCTGTGTGTGTCTCTGTGTGTGTCTCTGTGTGTCTCTCTAGACGTGTCTGACCCAGCCGTGATAGGAGATAAATACAAGTGGTACTCACAGAGACTGCTGCCCATCAGCTACAAGCTCTCTGTGTGTGTCTCTCTGTGTGTGTGTCTGTGTGTGTGTCTGTGTGTGTCTCTGTGTGTGTCTCTGTGTGTCTCTCTAGACGTGTCTGACCCAGCCGTGATAGGAGATAAATACAAGTGGTACTCACAGAGACTGCTGCCCATCAGCTACAAGCTCTCTGTGTGTGTCTCTCTGTGTGTGTCTCTGTGTGTGTCTCTGTGTGTGTCTCTGTGTGTGTGTCTCTGTGTGTCTCTGTGTGTCTGTGTGTGTGTGTCTCTCTAGACGTGTCTGACCCAGCCGTGATAGGAGATAAATACAAGTGGTACTCACAGAGACTGCTGCCCATCAGCTACAAGCTCTCTGTGTGTGTCTCTCTGTGTGTGTGTCTGTGTGTGTGTCTGTGTGTGTCTCTGTGTGTGTCTCTGTGTGTCTCTCTAGATGTGTCTGACCCAGCCGTGATAGGAGATAAACACAAGTGGTACTCACAGAGACTGCTGCCCATCAGCTACAAGCTCTCTGTGTGTGTCTCTGTGTGTGTCTCTGTGTGTGTCTCTGTGTGTGTCTCTGTGTGTGTGTCTCTCTAGACGTGTCTGACCCAGCCGTGATAGGAGATAAATACAAGTGGTACTCACAGAGACTGCTGCCCATCAGCTACAAGCTCTCTGTGTGTGTCTCTGTGTGTGTGTCTCTCTGTGTGTGTCTCTGTGTGTGTGTGTGTGTGTCTGTGTGTGTGTCTCTGTGTGTGTCTCTGTGTGTGTGTCTCTCTGTGTGTGTCTCTGTGTCTCTGTGTGTGTCTCTCTAGATGTGTCTGACCCAGCCGTGATAGGAGATAAACACAAGTGGTACTCACAGAGACTGCTGCCCATCAGCTACAAGCTCTCTGTGTGTGTCTCTCTGTGTGTGTCTCTGTGTGTGTCTCTCTAGACGTGTCTGACCCAGCCGTGATAGGAGATAAATACAAGTGGTACTCACAGAGACTGCTGCCCATCAGCTACAAGCTCTCTGTGTGTGTCTCTGTGTGTGTCTCTGTGTGTGTGTCTCTCTGTGTGTCTCTCTAGACGTGTCTGACCCAGCCGTGATAGGAGATAAACACAAGTGGTACTCACAGAGACTGCTGCCCATCAGCTACAAGCTCTCTGTGTGTGTCTCTGTGTGTGTCTCTCTGTGTGTGTGTCTGTGTGTGTCTGTGTGTGTGTCTGTGTGTGTCTCTCTGTGTGTCTCTCTAGACGTGTCTGACCCAGCCGTGATAGGAGATAAACACAAGTGGTACTCACAGAGACTGCTGCCCATCAGCTACAAGCTCTCTGTGTGTGTCTCTGTGTGTGTCTCTCTGTGTGTGTGTCTGTGTGTCTGTGTGTGTCTCTGTGTGTGTCTCTGTGTGTCTCTCTAGACGTGTCTGACCCAGCCGTGATAGGAGATAAACACAAGTGGTACTCACAGAGACTGCTGCCCATCAGCTACAAGCTCTCTGTGTGTGTCTCTGTGTGTGTCTCTCTGTGTGTGTGTCTGTGTGTGTCTGTGTGTGTCTCTGTGTGTGTCTCTCTGTGTGTCTCTCTAGACGTGTCTGACCCAGCCGTGATAGGAGATAAACACAAGTGGTACTCACAGAGACTGCTGCCCATCAGCTACAAGCTCTCTGTGTGTGTCTCTGTGTGTGTCTCTCTGTGTGTGTGTCTGTGTGTGTCTGTGTGTGTCTCTGTGTGTGTCTCTCTGTGTGTCTCTCTAGACGTGTCTGACCCAGCCGTGATAGGAGATAAACACAAGTGGTACTCACAGAGACTGCTGCCCATCAGCTACAAGCTCTCTGTGTGTGTCTCTGTGTGTGTCTCTCTGTGTGTGTGTCTGTGTGTGTCTGTGTGTGTGTCTGTGTGTGTCTCTCTGTGTGTCTCTCTAGACGTGTCTGACCCAGCCGTGATAGGAGATAAACACAAGTGGTACTCACAGAGACTGCTGCCCATCAGCTACAAGCTCTCTGTGTGTGTCTCTGTGTGTGTCTCTCTGTGTGTGTGTCTGTGTGTGTCTGTGTGTGTCTCTGTGTGTGTCTCTCTGTGTGTCTCTCTAGACGTGTCTGACCCAGCCGTGATAGGAGATAAACACAAGTGGTACTCACAGAGACTGCTGCCCATCAGCTACAAGCTCTCTGTGTGTGTCTCTGTGTCTCTGTGTGTGTCTCTCTAGATGTGTCTGACCCAGCCGTGATAGGAGATAAACACAAGTGGTACTCACAGAGACTGCTGCCCATCAGCTACAAGCTCTCTGTGTGTGTCTCTCTGTGTGTGTCTCTGTGTGTGTCTCTCTAGACGTGTCTGACCCAGCCGTGATAGGAGATAAATACAAGTGGTACTCACAGAGACTGCTGCCCATCAGCTACAAGCTCTCTGTGTGTGTCTCTGTGTGTGTCTCTGTGTGTGTGTCTCTCTAGACGTGTCTGACCCAGCCGTGATAGGAGATAAACACAAGTGGTACTCACAGAGACTGCTGCCCATCAGCTACAAGCTCTCTGTGTGTGTCTCTGTGTGTGTCTCTCTGTGTGTGTGTCTGTGTGTCTGTGTGTGTCTCTGTGTGTGTCTCTGTGTGTCTCTCTAGACGTGTCTGACCCAGCCGTGATAGGAGATAAACACAAGTGGTACTCACAGAGACTGCTGCCCATCAGCTACAAGCTCTCTGTGTGTGTCTCTGTGTGTGTCTCTCTGTGTGTGTGTCTGTGTGTGTCTGTGTGTGTCTCTGTGTGTGTCTCTCTGTGTGTCTCTCTAGACGTGTCTGACCCAGCCGTGATAGGAGATAAACACAAGTGGTACTCACAGAGACTGCTGCCCATCAGCTACAAGCTCTCTGTGTGTGTCTCTGTGTGTGTCTCTCTGTGTGTGTGTCTGTGTGTGTCTGTGTGTGTCTCTGTGTGTGTCTCTCTGTGTGTCTCTCTAGACGTGTCTGACCCAGCCGTGATAGGAGATAAACACAAGTGGTACTCACAGAGACTGCTGCCCATCAGCTACAAGCTCTCTGTGTGTGTCTCTGTGTGTGTCTCTCTGTGTGTGTGTCTGTGTGTGTCTGTGTGTGTGTCTGTGTGTGTCTCTCTGTGTGTCTCTCTAGACGTGTCTGACCCAGCCGTGATAGGAGATAAACACAAGTGGTACTCACAGAGACTGCTGCCCATCAGCTACAAGCTCTCTGTGTGTGTCTCTGTGTGTGTCTCTCTGTGTGTGTGTCTGTGTGTGTCTGTGTGTGTCTCTGTGTGTGTCTCTCTGTGTGTCTCTCTAGACGTGTCTGACCCAGCCGTGATAGGAGATAAACACAAGTGGTACTCACAGAGACTGCTGCCCATCAGCTACAAGCTCTCTGTGTGTGTCTCTGTGTGTGTCTCTCTGTGTGTGTGTCTGTGTGTGTCTGTGTGTGTCTCTGTGTGTGTCTCTCTGTGTGTCTCTCTAGACGTGTCTGACCCAGCCGTGATAGGAGATAAACACAAGTGGTACTCACAGAGACTGCTGCCCATCAGCTACAAGCTCTCTGTGTGTGTCTCTGTGTCTCTGTGTGTGTCTCTCTAGATGTGTCTGACCCAGCCGTGATAGGAGATAAACACAAGTGGTACTCACAGAGACTGCTGCCCATCAGCTACAAGCTCTCTGTGTGTGTCTCTCTGTGTGTGTCTCTGTGTGTGTCTCTCTAGACGTGTCTGACCCAGCCGTGATAGGAGATAAATACAAGTGGTACTCACAGAGACTGCTGCCCATCAGCTACAAGCTCTCTGTGTGTGTCTCTGTGTGTGTCTCTGTGTGTGTGTCTCTGTGTGTGTCTCTCTAGACGTGTCTGACCCAGCCGTGATAGGAGATAAACACAAGTGGTACTCACAGAGACTGCTGCCCATCAGCTACAAGCTCTCTGTGTGTGTCTCTGTGTGTGTGTCTCTGTGTGTGTCTCTCTAGACGTGTCTGACCCAGCCGTGATAGGAGATAAATACAAGTGGTACTCACAGAGACTGCTGCCCATCAGCTACAAGCTCTCTGTGTGTGTCTCTGTGTGTGTCTCTGTGTGTGTGTCTCTCTAGACGTGTCTGACCCAGCCGTGATAGGAGATAAACACAAGTGGTACTCACAGAGACTGCTGCCCATCAGCTACAAGCTCTCTGTGTGTGTCTCTGTGTGTGTGTCTCTGTGTGTGTCTCTCTAGACGTGTCTGACCCAGCCGTGATAGGAGATAAATACAAGTGGTACTCACAGAGACTGCTGCCCATCAGCTACAAGCTCTCTGTGTGTGTCTCTGTGTCTGTCTCTCTCTGTGTGTGTCTCTGTGTGTGTCTCTCTAGACGTGTCTGACCCAGCCGTGATAGGAGATAAACACAAGTGGTACTCACAGAGACTGCTGCCCATCAGCTACAAGCTCTCTGTGTGTGTCTCTGTGTGTGTCTCTGTGTGTGTCTCTGTGTGTGTCTCTGTGTGTGTGTCTCTCTAGACGTGTCTGACCCAGCCGTGATAGGAGATAAATACAAGTGGTACTCACAGAGACTGCTGCCCATCAGCTACAAGCTCTCTGTGTGTGTCTCTGTGTGTGTGTCTCTCTGTGTGTGTCTCTGTGTGTGTGTGTGTGTGTCTGTGTGTGTGTCTGTGTGTGTGTCTCTGTGTGTGTCTCTGTGTGTGTGTCTCTCTGTGTGTGTCTCTGTGTCTCTGTGTGTGTCTCTCTAGATGTGTCTGACCCAGCCGTGATAGGAGATAAACACAAGTGGTACTCACAGAGACTGCTGCCCATCAGCTACAAGCTCTCTGTGTGTGTCTCTCTGTGTGTGTCTCTGTGTGTGTCTCTCTAGACGTGTCTGACCCAGCCGTGATAGGAGATAAATACAAGTGGTACTCACAGAGACTGCTGCCCATCAGCTACAAGCTCTCTGTGTGTGTCTCTGTGTGTGTCTCTGTGTGTGTGTCTCTCTGTGTGTCTCTCTAGACGTGTCTGACCCAGCCGTGATAGGAGATAAACACAAGTGGTACTCACAGAGACTGCTGCCCATCAGCTACAAGCTCTCTGTGTGTGTCTCTGTGTGTGTCTCTCTGTGTGTGTGTCTGTGTGTGTCTGTGTGTGTGTCTGTGTGTGTCTCTCTGTGTGTCTCTCTAGACGTGTCTGACCCAGCCGTGATAGGAGATAAACACAAGTGGTACTCACAGAGACTGCTGCCCATCAGCTACAAGCTCTCTGTGTGTGTCTCTGTGTGTGTCTCTCTGTGTGTGTGTCTGTGTGTGTCTGTGTGTGTCTCTGTGTGTGTCTCTGTGTGTCTCTCTAGACGTGTCTGACCCAGCCGTGATAGGAGATAAACACAAGTGGTACTCACAGAGACTGCTGCCCATCAGCTACAAGCTCTCTGTGTGTGTCTCTGTGTGTGTCTCTCTGTGTGTGTGTCTGTGTGTGTCTGTGTGTGTCTCTGTGTGTGTCTCTCTGTGTGTCTCTCTAGACGTGTCTGACCCAGCCGTGATAGGAGATAAACACAAGTGGTACTCACAGAGACTGCTGCCCATCAGCTACAAGC